ATATATATATATATATATATATATATATATATATATATATATATATACACATATACTTTGTATATGGGTGTGTGTGTATAAAAACAGTGTCTTTTATGTCGGTGAGTTATTTTGATGGAAAGCCTTCCTGAGGGGAGTGGGGCAAAAAAGTGTGTGCTGGGTGAGTGGAGTCCTTCATCATGTGGCATGGAGGCTGCACAGCTGCAGAAAAAAAAGTTCTGCAGAGAGTGGTGAAGGCTGCACAGAAGACTGTTGGAGTCAGCCTCCCCACCATCACAGACATCTACACCTCCAGATGCAGGAAGAGGGCCACCTGCAACATGAAGGACCTCACTCACCCAGCACACTTTTTGCCCCGCTCCCCTCAGGAAGGAGGTTGAGGAGCATTAAGTGTAGAACCTAACCTTAAATGACACCAAATACCTTTTGATTTGAGAATTTATCAGATTTTCTAGAACCTCAGCTAAAACGCAGAATTTAGAGATAGGCCGATAGTTATTCGGTGAGGTACACACACACACACACACACACACACACACACACACACACACACACACACACACACACACACACACACACACACACACACACACACACACACACACACACACACACACACGCACACACATATATATATATATATATATACACACACACACACACACACACAATTACCTTAGATGTACTGATATGTGTTCATGTTCAAACAATAATTATAACAATATATTGATTGGGTGGGTTTTTTGGGATGTGGCGGTTTTTAACAGATTTTTGGGCTGGAAAACCTCGACTCTTTCTGGCAATATTGCCACCATTTCACATCCGGGCCATAATCTGAGGGTGTATTATGTTTTGTTTAGACTAACAGCATCACAAGAACACAACTAGAACAATTGTCTTCACTTATTGTTCTGTTTGTTTGCACAGTTGTTGTTAATGTAACATAAAAGCATCTAAATCTACAGGAACGTCCAGTAGATAATTTTTTTACATTAAAGTACTGTTGAAATAAATAAACCTACAGTAAATTTAAGAACAATAAAAAAGCATTTATCATGCACACTGCACATTACCATTTCTACTTTAACATACGTAAAATCCAGGGTGTCATCATGAAATATCAGACTAAGATGTTAAATATCAACTTTAAAATTTTATTTTCACACATTTTTTATTTCTTCATTTAAAATGAATCACACATCAATACTGCAATAATTATTAAAACATTTAAAGTAAGGCACACAGTGATTCAAAGTGCTTTAATAAAATCAGACAGAAAAAATCTGATGCCAAGTCTTTGATAAAACATGTAGGAACCTGATGAAGGGCAGCACGGTGGTGCAGGTGGTAGAGCTGCCGCCTCTCAGCACGCAGGTTATTCTGGTTCAAATCACAGTCCAGGGTCCTTTCTGGGTGGAGTTTGCATGTTCTCTCCGTGCTGCGTGGGTTTTCTCCGGGTAATCCAGTTTCCTCCCACAGACCAAAAACGTGCATGTTAGGCTGATTGGTAACTCTAAATTGTCCCCAGGTGAGAGTGAGAGAGTGAATGGTTGTTTGTCTCTATGTGTCCCTGTGGTGGACTGGAGACCTGTCCAGGGTGTACCCCGCCTCTCGCACAATGATGGCTGGATATGGGCACCAGTGACCCCTCCACGACCCAAATGGAAGAAGCGGGTAAAGATAATGGATGGATGAAACCTGATGAAACCTTAACGAGCAGAAAAAATGTCCATCAGTCAGCCGATTGATTTCCTCTTAACGCTGTGACATCACCCCATCCATTCACCAATCAGGATCATCTCGTCAGAATAAATGACAAAAATAAACTCAGAATAAATAAATAAATATGTAAATAAAGTGTCCTGGGGCAGGTTCTGACAGAATCTGAGCTCCTGAGAACAAGTGGTTCAGAACTGATAAATACAACGGGTTTAAAGGGCTATTCCACAAACTGTAACAGTGTGAATTCATAAATCGTCAGAACCAACACATCTGTCCATCACATCCAACAGAAACACTTTCTTCTTTGATAAATTGATAAATCATCATTTTAAAAACCATCTGAATCTGTTCTGAATCCGACAGATTTCAGTTAAAGTTCAGTTTGGCACACACGTTTACTCCTCTTCATCATTTTCAGCGTCACTGAAGGTCAGCATGTCTTCATCAGCTCCTGTCTTACTGAACACACAAAGGTCAAAGGTCAAGCAAACAGTTTTACCCCCAGCAACAATTAAATTAAACATATAATCAGAGCTAAAAATCAAATTAATATCAAACATTTTAAATATTCAGAATTTATATTTTAATCACCGTGCTGTCATTATTTTTATAACATACAGATTTAGGGGGGGGGGGGGGGGTGTTAACTAAGATGTTTAAAGTAAACTGATTTGTTTTCTGTATTTTCTTTAAAAAAAAATAAAAAGAAAGAAAGAAAAAACTGAATCCAGAAGTCTAAATGTATTGAATATATATTATGAATAAACGTTTCTATCAGTGTAAGAAAATAGCCTTTTATGATACACAAAATAAATGAATAGATCGAATAAAAAATATTACAAATAATATAATCATTTCAATGTGTTGTTTATTGTATGTAATCTGTTGTTACATTTTTTTTTTTTTTTTTATTTCTTGGATTTTTATTTTTCTAAATTGAAATTTTGTACACACTGATAAAAACAGAACCGCTCAAAGTGGGATCAAGTCAGAGGCGCTGAACAATCAGAACAAATAATGCCAGCTCATAGCTGGTGATCTGTCGGTGATTCTGTCAGTTCGGATCAGATTATTTTATTTCAACATGAAGTGAATCCGTAGTTCAGGTTTAAATGAAGCTCACTCTGTAGCTGTGTCTCAGAGCGAACGTCACGCCTTTCAGAGCTCTGTCCTGAGATCCACCGCTGGTGCCGTTCACCGAGCTCCTCCTCATGATGCCTGAACCATACACAAACAAAAACAAATACGTAATTCAGTCCAATCAGATGTTTACGATCTGTCTGCAGTGCACCCTCCCACCTGCATGGGGCAGCATGTCCGCTCTCTGCTGGCTGGTTTTGTGAGCCGGAGGGACGTTTCCTGACTTGGAGGGACGGCGATGGCGGTGGTTCAACATGGCAGCGGGAGGAAGAATTCCAGGGGGCGGGACTTTTCCCTTGAGGCGGTAGAGCTCTTCCATCTCTTGCTTCTGACTCACCTGCAGCTTCTGCACCTGCACAAGGTGTCTGAAAGAAAGAGGATAGGAATGAACAGGTAATTCAATTCAGTTTATTTATATAGCGCCAAGTCCCAACAGAAGTTGTCTCAGGGCACATTATCTTTTACCCGCTTCTTCCATTTTGGGTCACGGGGGTTGCCGGTGCTCATGTCCAGCAATCACTGTGCGAGGGACGAGGTACACCCTGGACGGGTCGCAAGTCCATCACAGGGCCACATCGAGACAAACGAGACAAACAACCATCCACTCTCTCACTCACACCTAGGGACAATTTAAAGTTACCAATCAGCCTAACATGCATGTTTTGGTCTGTGGGAGGAAACCAGAGTACCCAGAGAAAACTCACGCATGCACGGAGAGAACATGCAAACTCCACCCAGAAAGGCCCCTGGACCGGGATTTGAACCAGCAACCTTCTCGCTGAGAGGCAGCAGCTCTACCAGTTGTGCCACCGTGCTGCCCTTCATAAACATAAAAAGTAAATTAGTAAAAGTTCTCTATATAAGGAAGCCAGCAGGTTGTGCTGAATATTCATTTTGTCACAGTCTCCCATCCTGAGCAAGCACAAAGGAGAAAGTGGAAAGGAAAAACTCCCTTTAACAGGAAGAAACCTCCAGCAGAACCTGGTACTTAGTTCATATCTTAGATCTTACTACTGTTTTTCTTTACAATTTGTATTTTTGTTGGATGTCTGACTCAAGTTAATGTTTCATTCAACCTTTATTTAGACCGTTTCAGCTGAAAGTGGCCCGTGGTTCAGACAAAGTTTTAAATTTTGGCTCCTTTTGGTAACTGAGTTAGATACACATAGGGCAAAAAAAACCCTCAACTTTTAAAACAAAGCAACTGTAGTGTAAAATCCAGAAATTAATAAATGTTTTTAAAAAAAAATCTGCCAAAACAAAACATAAAATATCTTAACTTTATGTTGTTGTAAGCAAATAAAGGTGAACAAAGCTCTTTCTGATTTTTAGAAGTATTGTTAGAAATTATAAAACACAAGGTTCAATGAAACAATAAATTATTTCTAAATCAAATATTTTTATCTTTCTTTCCTTCCTGTTTGAATCAACCAATCACCTTTGACGTAGCTCCAATAGCTCCTCCCACAGCTCCTCCTCCTCTGATTCGTCAGAGCTGTATGTTGCAGAGCGGCTCCGTGATTGGCTGAAACTGCTGCCACTCACACGGGGGCTGATGGTTAACTCCTCCCACAGATTGATGCTCAGCTTGAGACTTTCTGCATTCCTGTCCTCCTGAGATGAGGGGTTGCCATAGTTTCCAGGTGGAGAGACCAAATGGAAGGTACTCTCTGATTGGTTATCCTCCATACTGCTTCCTGACTCGTTCTCTGATTGGTTCCATGTGGGAGGAGGTGGTGAGTGTGTGGTGGGTGTGGTCCAGTTCAGGGGGCGGGGCTCTGGGCGCAGGTCAAAAGAAAAGTCTTTGGAGGGCGAGACCTGGAAGCGACCGACACGACCGACAGTGAAGGCCGGTTTCTTCACTGTGGAAGAAGAGAAGAAGATTCAGGAAAATTTGTATCTGAAAAAAATCAAGTACAACTTGTGTGTTTTGTTTTTAAATCTCCATCTAAAACTATAGGCCTCAGTCAGCAAGTCAAAGGTCAGAGGTCATGGCTTCTTCCCTCTAACAACATGGCAACATGAATTAGATTTGAGAAGTTTAATTTGAAGGAACCACAAGACTTCTGGGACAAAACCAGACCAAAGGAGAGATTTTTATCCAGAATGCACTGCAGCAAACGGTTCCTCCCCGCTGTCAGCACGGTGGTAGAAGCTGATGGTCTGGGCTCGTCTTGCAGGTTCAAAACTTAAATTTAACTGAAGTGTCCCAACTGATGTGTTTTTAATGAGTGCTGATAATGAACATCAACTGAGGTGATTCTTCTACCACTGAGCCTGAAAATGGACCTTTATGGAGAGCATTATGGAGAGCTTTTATCCATCATCATCCATCCATCCATTATCCATCCATCATCATCATCCATCCATCAACATCCATCATCATCATCCACTCATCCATGGTCATCCCTCCATCATCCAACCATTATTCATCAATTATCATTCAATCCATCATCATCATCCATCCATCATCCATCCATCCATCATCATCCATCCATCATCAAGCATTATCCATCCATCATCATCCATCATCATACATCCAACATCAGCATCCATTCATCCATCCATCCATCAACATCCATCCATCCATAATCCATCATCATTCATCCATCATCATCTATCCATCCATCCATCATCATCCATACATCATCATTCATCCATCTAGCCATCCATAATCCATCATTGTTCATCCATCCATTATCATTCATTTTCCATCCAACCATCCATCAATCCTTCCATCATCATCCATCATCCATCATTGTCCATCCATCCATCCATCCATCCATCCATCCATCCATCCATCCATCCATCCATCGATCCATGCATCCATCCATCCTCTTTCGCTTATCTAGGGTCGGGTCGCGGGGATAGCAGCTTAAGTAGGGAGGGCCTCCCTCTCCCCAGCCACTTGGGCCAGCTTCTCCTGGGGAATCCCAAGGTGTTCCCAGGCCAGCCGAGAAACATAGTCCCTTCAGCGTGTCCTGGGTCTTCCTCTGGGTCTCCTCCTGGTGGGATGTGCCTGGAACATCTCACCAGGGAGGCGTCCAGGAGGCATCCTAATCAGATGCCCGAGCCACCTCAACTGGCTCCTCTCGATGTGGAGAAGCAGCGCCTCTACTGTGAGTCCCTCCCAGATGACCGAGCTTCTCACCCCATCTCTAAGGGAGAGCCCAGGCACCATGCAGAGAAAACTCATTTTGGCCGCCTGTATCCGTGATCTCGTTCTTTCGGTCACAACTAAGCTTAGATGAGGGTAGGAATGTAGATCGACCGGTAAATTGAGAGCTTCGCCTTTTGACTCAGCTCTCTCTTCACCACGACAGACTGATACAGCGCCCGCTTCACTGCCGACGCTGCACCTATCGAGCTCACGCTCCATTTTTCCCTCATTCGTGAACAAGACCCTGAGATCCTTAAACTCCTCCACTTGGGGCAGGACCTCCTCCCCGACCCAGAGAGGGCACTCTACTTTTTTCCGGCTCAAGACCATGGCCACGAATTTGGAGGAACTGATCCTCATCCCGGCCGTGTCACACTCTGCTGCAAACCGCTCCAGCGAAAGCTGTAGATCACAACCTGATTAAGCCAATAGGACCACATCATCTGCAAAAAACAGAGAAACGATCCTAAGGCCACCAAAACGGGTCCCCTCAACACCTTGGAAGCACCTAGAAATTCTGTCCATAAAAGTTATGAACAGAATCGGTGACAAAGGGCAACTTTGGTGGAGTCCAACTCTCACTGGGAACGAGCCCGACTTACTGCCGGCAATGCAGACCAAGCTCGGATACTAGTCATACAGAGACCTAACAGCCCGTATCAAGGGGCCTGGTACCCATACTCCCGGAGTACCCCCACAGGGCTCCCCGAGGGATGCGGTCGAACACCTCTCCAAGTCCACAAAGCAAATGTAGACTGGTTGGGCAAACTCCCACACACCCTCCATGACCTTGCTGAGGGTGTAGAGCTGGTCCAGTGTTCCATAACCAGGACGAAAACCGCACTGCTCCTCCTGAATCCGAGGATCGACTATCCGACAGACCCTCCGCTCCAGAACCCCCGAATAGACCTTACCAGGGAGGCTTAAGAGCATGATCTCCCTGTAGTTGGAACACACTCTACGGTCCCCCTTTTTGAATAGGGGGACCACCACCCCAGTCTACCAATCCAGGGGAACTGCCTTCGATGTCCACGCAACATTGCAGAGTCGTGTAAGTCAACACAACCCCACAACATCCAGAGCCCTAAGGAACTCCAGGCGAATCTCATCCACACCTGGGGCCCTGCCACCGAGGAGCTTTTTTAACTACCTCGGTGACCTCAGCACCAGAGATTGGAGAGCCCGACCAAAAGTTCCCAGGCTCTGCTTCCTCAGTGGAAGACGTGCCAGTGGGATTGAGGAGGTCTTTTGAAGTATTCTGCCCACCGACCCACGAAATCCTGAGTTGAGGTCAGTAACACACCACCTCCACTATAAATAGTGTTGGTGGTGTACCGCTTTCCCCCGCGAGAGGCCTGATGGTGGACCAGAATCGCCTCAAAGCCGTACGGAAGTCATTCTCCACGGCCTCTCTGAACTCCTCCCATGACCGAGTTTTTGCCTCAGCGACCACCCGAGCCGCATGATGCTTGGACTGCCGGTACCCATCGGCTGCTTCCGGGGACCCACAGGTCAAAAAGGCCTGATAGGACTCCTTCAATCTGACAGCATCCCTCACCGCCAGTGTCAACCACGAGGTTCGAGGGTTACCACAGCGACAGGCACAGACAACCTTGCAGCCACCGCTCCAATAAGCCGCCTCGACAACAGAGGCACGGAACATGGCCCACACAGACTCAATGTCCCCCGCCTCCCCCGGAACGTGTTCGAAGCTCTCCTGGAGGTGGGAGTTAAAGCTCCGTCTCACGGGAGACTCTGCCAGATGTTCCCAGCAGACCCTCGCAATATGTTTGGGTCTGCCAGGTCTGACCGGCATCCTCCCTCACCATCGGAGCCAACTCACCACCAGGTAGTGGTCAGTGGACAGCTCCGCCCCTCTCTTCACCCGAGTGTCCAAGACATGCAGCCGCAGAGATCAGGGGGGCCGTTCCTCCCAACCACACCCCTCCAGGTCTCGCTGTCATTGCCCACGTGAGCGTTGAAGTCCCCCAGTAGAACAAGTGAGTCCCCAAGAGGCACACTCTCCAGCATCCCCTCCAAGGACTCCAAAAAGGGTAGGTAATCTGAGCTGCTGTTTGGTGCATAAGCACAAACAACAGTCAGAACCCGTCCCCCCCACACGTAGGCAGAGGGAGGCTACCCTCTCGTTCACCGGGGTGAACCCCAACGTACAGGCACCAAGATGGGGGGCAACAAGTATGCCCACACCTGCTCTGTGCATCTTACCAGGGACAACTCCAGAGTGGAAGAGTGTCCAACCCCTCTCAAGGAAACTGGTTCCAGAGCCATGCATTGAGTTGAGTCCGACTATTCCTAGCCGGAACCTCTCAACCTCACACACCAGCTCAGGCTCCTTCCCCACCAGAGAGGTGACATTCCACGTCCCAATAGCCAGCTTCTGTAGCCGAGGATCAAACCGCCAGGGTCCCCGCCCTTGGCCACCACCCATCCCCTATTGTACCTGACCCCTTTGGCCCCTCCCACAGGTGGTGAGCCCATGGGAAGGGGGACCCACGTCTGGCAGTGCCCGTCCAGGCTCCATGGGTAAAAGCCCGGCCACCAGGCACTCGCCAACATGCCCCACCTCCGCCTATCCATCCATCATCCATCATCATCCATTCATCATTCATCCATCCTCATCCATCCATCCATCCATCCATCCATCATCCATCATTGTCCATCCATCCATCATCATCCATCATCATCCATTCATCCATTAGCCATCATGATCCTTCCATCATCCATCCATTATCCATCATCTATAATCATCCATCCATCCAGCCATTTATTTTCCATCCATCTATCCATCAACATCCATCATCATCATCCATCTATCATTCATCCATCATCCAACATCATCCATCAATTTATCCATATAGCATCCAGCCATCATCTTCTATTTGTTCTGAAGTCAGGTTTTGTGGCAGCATCTTGAGCAGGGAGGTCCAGACATCTCTTTCCACAGCCACCTCTTCCAGCTCTTCTGGGAAGACTCCAAGGTGTTCCCAGGCCAAAAGAGAGATGTAGTCTCTCCAGCGTGTCAAGGGTCTTCCTTGGGGTCTCCTCCCACTTGGACATGTCCACAACACCTCCCTAGGGAGGCATCCAGTGTCCATCCTCACAAGATGTCTGAACCTCCTCAACTGGTTCCTCTCGATATGGAGGAGTAGCAGTTCCACTCAGAGTCTCTCCTGATAACTGAACTTCTCACCCTATCTCTAAGGGAGAGTCCAGCTACCCTGCAGATGAAACTCATTTAGACCTCCTGGATCCAGGATCTGGTTCTTTTGGTCTCTACCCAGAGTTCATGACCTCACGTGAGGGTAGGAACATAGACCAACCAATGAACAGAGAGCTTCTCCTTAGAGCTCAACTCTCTCTTAACCACAATGGACCACCTCAGAGTCCACAATACTAGAGAAGCTGCACTGATCTGTCTGTTGATTTCAGGCTCTTTCCTTCCATCAGTGGTGAAAACCTGCCATTACCCCCTGCTGCCCTTGGATTAAAATTACCTATGTGGCCTCTATTTTAAGACTGAGGCCATGTGGGTCATTTTGACCGAAGGGCAGCAGGCGGGTTAACTTCACTTCATCCCCAACCTGGTGAAGATAATTCACCCTTTTCAGACTGAAGACCATTGCCTCAGATTTGGAGGTGCTGATCTTCATAAATATTTGCAAGACGTCAAATTTCATGCTCAATTATCCAGATTAAAAAATCCAACAAAGTTAATTCAGGTCCTCTGGACGTTTATTTATTTATTTATTTATTTAAACAATAAAAGAGACTGTCCAGAGGACCTGGATTAACTTTGTTGGATTTACCAGACAATTAAATATCTTTTAAATTAGTTTATTATTTATTTAGTTAATAAACTCTGTAGAAGATTCTGCTTTTTAACACTAGACGGTGAAACGTACCTTTTAGGGTCGGTGAAATTCTGGCTGATGGAGAACCAGGAGGAGAAACCTGGAGCAGAAATAAAATGTTAAGTTTGTGATCGGATCAGTACCAGCTTCCACATTTCCTCTTGGTGCCAGTATTTAAACAGGACCGTGACACACAGAAGGTAAAATTACTTTTTTTTAAATGTAATGTAATATTTTGTTGACAGGATTTACCAGTTTGTGAGGAGTTGATGGAAGAGGAGAGGAGAAGGAGGAGGAGGAGTCAGAGAGCTCTCCTTGATGACTGGGAGTACTGGTCTGACCGGGAAGGAGGACTATGTCTGAACCTGTGAACCAGTCAGATGTTCAGGGCTCAGGTGTCATGAAGCTGCATAATGTCAGCACGGACTCACCTGTAGGGGGCGGAGCTAAGCCAGGCTTCAAAACAGGACTGAAGAGCTGCAGTGAAGGAATGAAAGCATCAGACCCAAATACCTGACTGAATTCTTCTGACCCCAACTCCCCCCCCCCCCCCCCCCCCAACCCCTGACCACAGAAACTAAGATTCTCTAGTCCCCAATCAGAACCAAACAGGTTTTTGGAGCTCAGATGACCCAATTCACCCTGAAAGTCCAACAGGATCTCACCTGGATCGGATTCTGCCCTCCTTGGGGTGTGTCTGCAGCCTGGCCAGATGCCCCCCCCTGCTGGCCGAAGCCCATCTGAGGTGAAGTGGGTGTGTAGACCTGTTGGTGGGGGAGGGTGGGGGAGAAGGACGAGTGGTTCTGATGCTGGAGATTAGAGCCCAAAGATGGAGATCCAGGAGGAGAGAGTGCCGTCTGGGGGCTCGGGAACAGGGGAGACATGACCTGAAGGTGAGGGGGGTGAAAGCCCTGGTTTGGACCCCCTGCTGGAGGCATAAAGGACTGAGCCCCAGTTTGGGGCATGATGGACTGAGTCCCGGTTTGGGGCATGAGGGTCTGAGTCCCGGTTTGGGGCATGAGGGACTGGGCCACACTCATAGCCACAGAGAGGACGTTAGCCAGAGAGAAGAGAGGCTGGTCAGGGGGAGGCCACTGCGGAGTGGAAGGCACTGAGGGAGCGGAGACGGAGGTGAGGAGGGAGGGGTTGCTCTGGACTCGGGGGAGTGGAGGGATAGGGTTCGGGGTGGGGTAGAAGGCTGTGTAAGTGGAGTAGTGTTGAGTCGGGAGGTGGTACTGAGGAGCTGGGGGAGGTGGGGGGAAGGGAGTGGGTACAGGGGGGAGCTGATAGGAGGAACCTGGAAGGAGAAAAACTTTGTTGATGAAATTCTTTAAAAATTATAATAAAAACTTTAAACATCATGGACTTTCACTCCTCAGTGAACTCAAGATCCAGGTCCAGGTCAAGGTCCAGGTTTTAACTTTTAATTCTTGTTAGATGGCTACCAGGAGCCCCTGGATCAGAGAAAAACCCTGGAAGAGACCCGGGTATCCCTGGTCTGGGCCAGATGCTGGGCCCTTCATTTCCTTCGCCATCATACGGACTTAAACCGGTGGAGAACTGTCCTGGAGGTCTTTGCAGGACTTAAAGGTGAAATTTGCAACAAGTTGAATAAAACACGAATCTACCGATCAGACTTTTAAATCATGACAATGTACTGATCCAAACTAGATTTTACTACATCACAGAAATGTGCATGTGAAGAAGATGAAGGAGATGGTCGTGGACTTCAGATGGAACAAACACACCTACCCCCCCCCCCCCTTAAACATAGGAGGATCTGCGGTGTAAGTGGTCTCCAGCTACAAGTACTTGGATGTGCACCTGAATGACAACCTCAGCTGGAGCAACAACACCACCAGCCTGATCAAGAAAGCTCATCAGAGACTCTACTTCCTCAGGCGGCTGAGACGAGCTGGTCTGGGAAGCTCAGTCCTCACCTCCTTCTACAGGTGTGCAGTGGAGAGCATCCTGTGCTCCAGCATCAACGTGTGGCATGGAGGCTGCACAGCTGCAGAAAGAAAAGCTTTGCAGAGAGTGGTGAAGGCTGCACAGAAGACTGTTGGAGTCAGCCTCCCCACCATCACAGACATCTACACCTCCAGATGCAGGAAGAGGACCACCTGCATCATGAAGAACCCCACTCACCCAGCACACACACTTTTTACCCCGCTCCCCTCAGGAAGGAGGTTCAGGAGCATTAAGTGTAGAACCACTAGACTGAGGAACAGCTTCTACCTTGAGGCTGTTAGACTCACAAATCTCTAACTAGGATAATCACTGTGAAAAAAAATCCCTGTAATGCCACTTGATATGTGCTGCTGATTATCCATGCTGCTGATCACATGCTGCTGATTCATTTCATGTTGCTGTGTTCATTCGTCCTCATCTGCTCACACAGACTCATGTTCGTGCTGTTGTTGTTCGGCGTATTGTTTTGCGTTATTAGTGTTTAGTTTATATCTTAGATCCTTAGTTACTGTTTCTTTTATAATTTATATTTTTGCTGTTAGATGTAACTGGGACCAGTACACAATTTCGTTCCACCTCACGTACGACATGTGATGCATATGACAATAAAGAACCTTGAACTATTCAGAACGGATCAAACAGCAACTTTTAAACATCTAGTAGAATCTTTAGTTCCAGGGTTCTGTGAGTTGCATGCAGTCACCTCTAGTGTTGAATTTAAACCTTACAGAAGTAAAAACCCAGCCGTGGAGCCTTGGAGCTGAGGACCCCGGACCGGCAGGTCTCACCCTGAGGATGACCTGTCAAGCTTCAGTTAGAAGATCCATCTGAAGCCTAAAAACTGGACCTTTAAGAAAAAAAGCCTTGTGCTTGCATCATAAATGGGGGACAGGTCGTACCTGACGGAGTCTGAAAAGACTGGGACCTCAGTGGTCTGACGAGGGGCGTGGCCTCACGGTCGATGCAGAAATCAACAGCTTTCAAAGGGGAGGGGCTACTGTTGCCTATGTCTGACAGGAAGAAACATAAATACATTAAATTAAACTATTTTCAGTCAGTCAAACTGATGTTCTTAAATTATATTCCTTTTGTCTTGAATATTTCTAAAACTTCTTCCTTACCAGGTAATGAGGACGAGGACATAGTTCTGGACAAACCCTTTGTTACCAGATTTAACTGTAAGCACATAAACGAGACATAAAAATTAGTCGGTAAATCGTAAACATTGTTGTTCCACCTGCAGAAACTTTGTAAACAGAGAAATATTCTGGTGACGCTTCATTTGCCGGTCAAACCTGCTGAGCTTCAATATTTACAGTCAAAACCAAACTCCTCACACCTTCACTTCAACCACACTCCCGCTGTGCACGGTACCTGTGATTCAGGCAGCGTGGACGCCGTCAGGTTGGACAACGTGTTTGGATGCTGCTGGTGCATCATAAGCTCCACCCTCTTGATGATTTCGTACATCCGAAGGATGAATCCGTCCCGCTCTGACAGCAGGATGAAGTCTCTGTGGAGCTACAGTCAGACAGTGGGTTGCTGTGCTGCTCCTCAAACATTTTCTATGCTGAAACACAGGTAGCAATGCTCTGCTCTGATTGGCCGATGTCCTCACCATCACCGCCGCAATGTCCTCTGGATTGTCTCCGTCCAGGTCAAACTTGAAGGTCACCATCTTATTGTTGTGAGTCTGCAGCTGACACTCCACAACCCGGTCCTCCTTATCGGACACCTGAAGTCACCAAACACACGTCACAGATCAGATATGGTTCTGTTAACAGGAAGTGATGCTGATGGCTACAGGAAGGGACTGATTGTTACAGGAAGTGACTCTTATTGTTACAGGAAGTGACTCTTATTGTTATAGGAAGTGACCCTTATTGTTACAGGAAGTGACTCTTATTGTTACAGGAAGTGACTCTTATTGTTACAGGAAGTGACTCTGGTGATAACAGGAGGTGACTCTGGCAGGAACAGGAAGAGATTCTGGGCTCCAACTCACCCCGATGATTCTCAGACGAGCTCTGGCTCTCCTCCTGAATTGCTTCGTAGCTTCTCTTTTAGCAGCTTCATGGTTGCTCTTATCTGGTTGGCCATCGTTGCCGTCACTAAAACCCGAGGTTATGTCAGAGGAATAGCTGCAAAAAGGAAGAAAACGATCAAAAATAAAATATGGTGTGCGAGACGACAGTCACATTAAACTGAAATGTACTGGTGCTTTAAGCTGAATATTATTAGAGCCTTTGTTTACCTGTCGACAGGTGAGGAGAAGCCGTGGACTGAGTTAGGTGGATGTCGCTCAGCGTTCTGGAACACGGCGATGCTCTGCAGCACAGAAACATTTTTAATATCTGCTCTTGTCCTCCATGACAGGGCGACAGAAACAGCAGTTCATATTTAGGACTACCTTTGTTCGGGGATTAGCCACGCCTTCTTTGGTGGTCCCTATTCGACTCACCTTTGGGAAGCGTAGCATGGGGAAAGGCGGAGCTTTGAACGCTGGATGATTTAGAAGGGACTGAGTCTCCGAGACAGGGGTGGGGTTTGGGACAGGAGGCGGGGTCTCTGCAGCACCTGAGGTGTTAAAGTAGACCCCTGTCTCACAGTCGGCTGCCATGGCAACAAAACAAAAAGTTAATGGAAACAAAAATCTGTATGATCAGATAAATTAAAACATTAATAATAAAATATTTAAAATGAAGTACTGACAGGCAGCAGAGGAGTGGGATAAGAGTTCGGTCGTCTTGTCTTTGTCCTCATCTCCTTCTGTCCTGCAGGACATGCTGCTGATCCCAGAATCCAGCAGGCTGTTTAAGGACAATGCCAATGATGTCACTGCTGATGTGGGTGCTGTGGGTGGGGATTGAGATCCAGCAGGAGGCTTATTCTGTGACTTTGAACAAGAATGTTTCAAAAGATTAGCAAAAAATAAGAAACAAACTTTTGTTTAATCTATCGGATGACATCAGCAGTTTTAAATATTTCTATGCCAGCGGCTCCAAAGTACCTGACTGGCTGCCTTTTCAGCAGAAGATGTGTTTGAGGCAGATTCAGCTTTCAGATTGGACAGCTCAGGTTGTAGGGAGTTGGGCTCAGGTTCATGCTCGTTGATGGCTTCTTTCTGGTTGTTGTGAGCTTCCTCCAGCAGGCGGCGCTTTTTGTCCCTCTCCCGTTTTATCGCCGTCACTCTGTGTCTGATCGCTTTGGCAATAACCTTGTAGTCCGCCTCTGACACGAACCCCAGAATCACCTGAGAAACAAGCAGGCTCAGGTAAGACCAGCTGCCAGATGTAATCTTCATGATGCCATCAGCGTGATGATGCAGGTACCATCTCTTGGGCGACCTCCTCAGGAACATCTTTGTACAGTTCAAACAAGAACTCGATGGCGTCGTGGTCTTTGTATTTGCCACAAAGCTTCTTGTTGTCGTCCATCCGAAGCCAAAGCTTCAGCGCCGCCTTCAAACCGTCGTCTTCTTCAGCCAGCTCCACGTGGACACCCGTCTGCTCCTGGAAGAACCGGTGGTCCAGAAGATCCTGAACTGTGAACCTAAAGACACAAATTTTTCTACCTGGATTATTGAGCATGCATCAGGATATCTAAAGACACAAACTAAATAAATAACAACTAACCCACCATAAACCAACCACATACCAACAACCAACCCCAAACCAATCCTTGACTAACCAAAAACTCAACAAAAACAATCCCTAAACCAACCGTAACCCTACACCAAGTCAAAGCCAAACACAAACCACTAACTTACCTTAAATTAACCACAGTCCAACTCTAAACCAACCCTTAACCAATACTAATCTAACCACAGACCAGAAACTAAACCAACCACTGGAAGATCTTAAAACAATCAAAGTCCAAGCCAAGGTCAACCACTGATCAGCACTAAACCCACCGCTAACAAACAAACACCCTAACACCAAACCAACCCACACTCCAGCTGAAACCAACACTAGACTAACCCAAACCAGTCACTGAACGACCACAGATGACCTGCTGTCACACACTGACACAGTGAACTAACCACAGATCTGAGTTTTCTGACTGTTTCTGTGGACAGTGAATTAACCACAGATGTAAATTTTCTGACTGTTTCTGTGGACAGTGAACTAATCACAGAGCTGAGTTTTCTGACTGTTTCTGTGAACAGTGAACTAACCACAGATCTAAGTTTTCTGACTGTTTCTGTGGACAGTGAACTAACCACAGAGCTGAGTTTTCTAACTGTTTCTGGGAACAGTGAACCGCAGAGCTGAGTTTTCTGACTGTTTATGTGGACAGTGAACTAACCACAGATCTAAGTTTTCTGACTGTTTCTGTGGACAGTGAACTAACCACAGAGCTGAGTTTTCTAACTTTTTCTGGGAACAGTGAACCACAGAGCTGAGTTTTCTGACTGTTTCTGGGAACAGTGAACCGCAGAGCTGAGTTTTCTGACTGTTTCTGTGGACAGTGAACTAACCACAGATCTGAGTTTTCTGACTGTTTCTGTGGACAGTGAACTAACCACAGATCTGAGTTTTCTGATTGTTTCTGTGGACAGTGAACTAACACAGATCTGAGTTTTCTGACTGTTTCTGTGGACAGTGAACTAACCACAGATCTGAGTTTTCTGACTGTTTCTGTGGACAGTGAACTAACCACAGATCTGAGTTTTCCGACTGTTTCTGTGGACAGTGAATTAACCACAGATCTAAGTTTTCTGACTGTTTCTGTGGACAGTGAACTAACCACAGATTTACCTCTCACTGCTCTTGGTTCGGATGCAGCCCTCGATGACCTCTTTCAGTTCTGGGACTTGTACTTTGTTAAAACTGTCCGGTTTGATCCCCTGAAAGACAAACGGACAGTCAGACACATGGAACACAACAGAAAATATGCAGAGCTGAAGTGGGTGGGGCCTTACTTTGGTGACCTTGCGGTAGATCTGGGCTGCGTTCTGACACTCGGAGTAAGGATACTCGGATGTTGCCATCTCCAGCATGCACATACCGAAGGCGTAAACATCCACGGCCTCGTCATACTTCTCCTCGTACATCTCTGGAGCCATGAACTCAGGAGTTCCTGAACGCAACACAAACCAAAAAGCAAATTTATGAGCTCTGCAAATTTTAACCACTCTGACTTCATAAGGACGAGTTAGTTGATAGAGGATCAAGAGTCAGTTAGTTATTAGATCATTAAAGATGGACTCACCGATGACACTCTTGGCGAACGAGGCCTTCTTGAGCGTGGCGAGGCCCAGGTCTCCGATCTTCACCGAGGCAGTGGGTCCATTGATGAAGATGTTGTCACACTTAAGGTCTCGGTGCAGAATCGGAGGGGAGCGAGAGTGCAGGAAGTGGAGACCCTTCAGGATCTGGAGACTCCAGCGCTGAAGCAGCTTCAGCTTCATCGGGCGGAACCTTCCCACGTACCTGGACAGGTGCAGAACAGCTTGAACATGAGGTTCTGCCGGGGTTACATCAGACAACTGAAATGGACTTCAGGAGTTTAGACACATAGTCATCCTGCGGGTTGTTAAGAGATTGATGAACAAACTTTAATGATGGAAAGAGTTTATTAAACTTAAACCAGAGGAAAAACTTTTTCTGTAAACTCTAAATATCTGATGAAGAAAGCTGCAAGAAGCTAAAATTTAAAAGTCGCTAAATGCTGTCTAAATTTGGAAAATAGCAAAACACTAGCTAAAATCTAAAAATAATAAAAGGCTAGCTAAATGCTGAAAGTAGCAAAACTACCCAAAAATAACAAAATGCTAACTAAAAGTAGCATTAAACCTTAGCTCAAAACATTATCAAATAAGTAATAAAATATTAGCTAAAAGCTAAAAAGTATCAATGATAGCAAAAAGCTAAAAATATCTAAATAATAGCCAAAAGTAGTAAAACACTAGCTAAAAGTTTAAATTAGCACATCTGTTTATTTTGGGAACTAAAAGAAAACTGTTTCATAAAAAGAAAGATTTAAGACGGTGAGGCATTTGAGGACTAAAACAAGTGTCAGACGTTTGAGCATTACGGTAAAGAATCTAAAACGTTGGAGTCTTTTTGGAGAACTTGTGTTTGATGAAGGTTAAAATATTAAATAGAGATTTCTGTAAATAAAATTGTTCAGGAGTTAAAAGTGAAATAGAAAAATAAAAACCACAAATCAAAGCTGACCAAAGGGAAGCGATAAAAACCAATTAAACTGCGAGCGTGGGTCGGACCGAGGGGACGTTGAGGTTCTGGTCTCACGTTTTGAGGGTTCCGGACGTCATGAGCTCGGTCACCAGGATGATGCATTTAGGGCCCCTCAGACTGGACTTCCAGGAGTCGAAGAACCTCACGATGTTGGGGTGCTGCAGGCCTTTCAGCATCTCCACCTCCTCGCTGAAGCGCTGCCGCTCAGCCCGGCTCAGGCAGTGAGTCTGTCCAACAGAACACACAGGTCGGTCCAACAGAACACAGAAGCTCCACCGTGAAGGACACCGAGCCCTCACCGAGCTAACGACCTGCTGACATGGAAACACTTGAACGCCTCACGAGGTGCTTGTTTGTTTGTTTGTTTGTTTATGATCTGACACTTCCTGGAAGTTCTGAGGGCATCTGAGCAGCTCCTCCTAAAGGTGGGTCAGAGGAAAACCATCAAGGAACTACCAGAACCTGACCAGAGGAACCAGCAGGTCTGGGTTTTGAAACTTGTTTCCATGACGATAAAATAAATAAAAGTTGTTTTTCTGCTGCCTGTTTCTAAAAATAGCTGTTCTTTAAAGAGCGTAAACAAACATCAGCTCCATGTTTGTTTGGTAAATAAACAACTGTAACGTGTCTCTGTTAGCTTGTTGGTCAGGTTTTAACCTGAACTCTTCTTTCTTCTACGACTCGTTCTATTCAAACTAGTTAAACTTTATTTATTTCAGAGTCACAACAAAAAAAACTTTGATCTGATTCAAAAACAAACAAAAATAAACAGAAAATAAAGTATGACAACAAGAGAAATTGAATTAAAGTCTCTCTCTCTCTCTGTGTGTGTGTGTATGTGTGTGTGTGTGTTATCAGCAGCAGCAGTGTGTGTGTGACGACCTCAGATAGTGTGTATGTTCCAACAAACTGCTGACTCACACGCGTGTGCTGCACGTCACCAGCTGCTGTATAGACTCCACCCCCTGACTGTCACCGTGGTAACCAGGTGACCCACAGTTCCACCTGCGTGTGGTCGTAATGTTGTGGCTGGTGGGTGTTACCTGCAGCTCGCACCAGGCCACCTCCACAGTGGTCTCTGTGTCCAGGCCGCGGTAAACCGTCTTGAAGGACCCCCGTCCGATCTCGATGTTGAACTTCAGGAATCGTCCATCGGGCGAAGACGCCACTGCCTTCGTCTCCTCATCATCGTGCTCCTCCTCCTTCCGTTGCCATGGTAACGCCTCCTGGATGGAGTCTGACAGAACAGTGCCCCCTTCGTCGCAGGAGTCCCAGCTGAGGTCCTGACCTGAGCGGGGTTTGTCTCCAGCGTCCGATTGGTCGACGGGATCTTCCGTTGTTGTCGTCATGGTAACGGGATGGTCTGCGTCCTCCCTGTCCTCTTCACCATCTTCATTATCTTTACGTCTCTGTTTGGCATCACTGTCAGAGGTGGAGAGCATCATCCTAAGCTGTCGCCGTGGCAACGCTTATTGGAGGAGCACTGTGATGTCAGAGTAGGCGGAGCTCCAATAATCTGTCAATCAAACCGATCATAATCAGGATCTTTTAGCCAATTAAACCAAAATTAAACAAAAAAAATTATCTTTATTTATTCAGGAAATTACTTAAATTAATTTGTTTTGAAAAATTATTTAAAATTTTAAAATCCTAAACTTTTGTAAACTAACAAGTCTGAATTTTATGAAAGTCAAATTTAAAAATATTTAAACAATAAATAAATAAAATCTGTTTCAGTTCTATAGTAAACAGTTTTCCAAATATTGTATTTATTTATACTTTAATTTAAAGTTTTATTTGGATTTTAGTGTTGTTTTTATTCATCGTTGTGTAACAATAAAGTTGTGTTTGTGTTGGACTCACTGTGGTTCCGTCTGCAGCGTCCAGTTCAGCTCCAAGTTCAGCCGGGTCCAGCTCAGTCCTCCGGGGTCAAACCTGGTCCGGCTGAAGGTTCGGGTCACAACAGCGGGTCCAGCTCAGTCCTCAGCTCTGGTTCTGGTTCTGCTGTGAGTTCTCTGCTTGTCTGCGGTGCGCGCGCAGCTAGGCTCGCGCTCCTCTATCAGCTGCAAGCAGAAAGCATGTGCTGCTGTAAGCCCCGCCCACCGGACACCTGTCACCTGGCTGATAGGAGCGGGGTCACGTGACTGATCTTTACTTTAAAATGGGATCAGTATGTAAAAGAACCGAACCGAACTCAGATCAACTGCCCAATCGGATGTTATTGATTTATTGATCCTCCTGATCGGATCGTGCACCTCTCAGCCCTGAGAGCTGCCTGTCAGGCTGCGAACAGAAAGCTGCTCTCTGATTGGTGGAGCCTGTTCCTGCAGACTGAACTCAGGGATAAGAGTTCATTGATTTCAATAAGTTTAATCAAAAAGGTGATATAAAGTTGTCCAAACAGACTGAACATTTTACACATTATTATTCTAAATGTTATTTAAATTAAAAACAGTAGTTTTCAACTCAACTTTCAAATCAACTCAACTTTATTTTGGTAACAAAACAATATAAAATACTTCTTAGTCGGGTCATCTGAACAGTTTTTTTTAAATTGGTTCACAATATCCCACTTTATTAATAAGCCTTGCTTTTTGTTGTAACTTTACTAATATGTCAGAATGTCAATGCTCTATATGTAATATTGCTCAGAAATATGGGGGAATGCAAACAAAACAACTATTCATTCAACCTGTCTAAATAAAGGTTGAATGAATAGTTGTTTTGTTTGCATTCCCAGAATATTTCTGAGCAATATTACATATAGAGCATAACCAAGGAAGAGTATATAATATGCAAGACTTTTACATTTATTAAATCTTTTATTTTAAACATTATTTCAATAGAGGAAGTCTTTCTGATGCAAGACGAAACATATTTAGATTTTTTTGCTTTTTTTTTTTTTTTGAATGTCCAGAGGATCAGATTTAACTTTTTTGGATTTTTCTACCTGGATTATTGAGCATGCATCAGGAAATATTCCAATAGTTTTTGTAATATTATTTTTAATATATTCAATATGAGGCTTCCTTTTTTTCCCTTCCTTTTTCTCATTTAAGCGTTAATTTATTTCACATTTTTTAATAAATCCTGAATCAGTTCACAGATTAACAAAAACTGTGTTTGTTTCACCCTGGAGGTGTTCATGTTTACTGTTGACTCGTGAGCGCGTGTCCAGCAGAGGGCGCTGCGTCACCGCTGATCACGTGACTCAAACCTGCATCTTTTTTTCTGTTTCACTGACCAGAGCTCACGGATCACAGCCACATCATCTTTGTTTGTTTGTTTGTTTGTTTACGTGTCAGACTTCAGCTTCTCGTTTCCTCTGATATGATGAGCGTGAGTACAAATAGTTTTTGTTCAGTTTTATGCCACATTTGTTGTTTATTGGCGGTCTGTTTTGTTGAGAATAAATACAACAGGATGCTCGTGCACTTACGCTCTTTGTTGTTTGTTTGTTTGTTTATGAAATTAGTCACATTTCCTGGAATGACAGTGAGTGTTTTGATGTTTTAAATATGTTTGTGTTGGACTCAGATTTTTTTTTTTTTTATTAAAATGCCTGAAGAACAAAACAATAAATGAAAACAGGAGAGCAGAATAAAAAGTAGATATTTATAATTTTTTTAAATAAATATTTCATATTTTGTGAGTTCATATGTTTAGCAGAATGTCAGATTTCTTTCCTTCATCTGAAGCAGTAAATCTGGTCTAATCCCTGCAGGATTAACCTTATCTTCGTCTTCGTCTCTTTAATCATCTTCATCCTTTTGTTCGGCCTCCTCCTCCTCTTTTCTCTTCTTTAATCTGATTGTTTTCCTCTTTGGGTTCCCTCTGCTCTGATCTATTTTGGTTTTAGTCCCAAAAAATGGAAAAAAAGAGGAAACTAATTGGTGATAAATTGATTTTAAAATATGAACATTTGTCAGTTTATTTGTTAAAAACCTGAAGTTTGTTAATCAGGATTGTAAATGCTCCTCATCAAGTTGTTTAATTCAGATTGGAGTGTTACTTCGAGGCTCCTGAAATGATTTATAAATTATAATAAACTGATTTGAACACCTGATGCTTTTATTGTGAAAATCAGTAAACAACTTTCTGGATTTTTGTTTTATTTGTTGTCTTCTTTTAGTCCCTTCTGCTGAATAGTAATAACAGAACATGCAGCTGAACGTGTGACAGGAAGTGACCATCATGCCTCTACAGCCGCCTTCTTCTTCTGCGGTATCAGGACCGAGGATGCTCGTCCTCTTCCTCCTGATGCTTCCATTGCCCAGCCTGGTCGTGACATCATCACCCCGTGCAATGGCGCTGTGGCGCCGTGGCAACAGAGTTTCCTCCATCAGCGCCTGCCAGCAGACGGCGGCGGCGTTCAGGGGACTGACAGTTCGCTGCAGTGGACTCAGACTGACTCAGGTCTGTCTGCAGGTTTATCCGAACCTTTTAAATCAGAGGTTCTGAATGTGAGCAGTCCCTGTTGAAGCTGATCCATGTGCTCCAGTTCTGTCAGCGTGCTCAGTGTGTTCTTGTCCACAGGTACCGGGTGACCTGTCCAATCACACCACTCGGCTGTTTCTGAATAAAAACCTCATCAGCTTCTTGCCGGCGTACATCTTCTCTGATCTGATTCTGCTCGATGAGCTTGACCTGTCACACAACCAGGTACCCACTTTGGACCAGCAACACCCCGCAGCAGAAACCAGTAGATGCTGGTTACACTTCCTGTTTCTCTCATTTGCTCTTTGACTCATTTCCTGTTTCTCTCACTTCCTGTTTGACTCACAAATGGTCTGATTTACTTCCTGTTTGCCTTACGTCCTGTTTCCTATCGCAGCTGTCTTTACTGGAAGCTGGTTGTTTCTTCGGGTTGGCGCCGTCTCTCCGGTTCCTGGACCTGTCGTTCAATCAGCTCACCACCCTAGACCCAGAGGTCCTTGGTGGTCTTCAGGTCCAGGCCAACCTGACCCAGAACCCCTGGCACTGTGACTGCAGGATGCAGGTGAGTTCCACCTGTAGGGCCTCGTTGGTGTGAGACAGGTCCAGTTTGGGTCGATGACTTCCTGTCTGTTTCAGATGTCCATACCTCAGCTGGTCTTGGACGAGTCCTCTCTAGATAAAGTCATCTGTTTGACCTCTGACCTCCCGAACCTCGGTAAGGTTCCTCAGGTGGCCTGAAGAGGAAGTTTTTGTTCTTCTTACACAGAATGTTTCATGTTTGCAGTAGGAAGTGGTCATGGTCAGAACAGGTGCCAGGTTCTAACCCTGACCCCGTTTGTGTTCCAGGAGCTGTTGGGCTTCCTCTGGTCCTGCTGGTGGAGGACTGGGATCTGTGTCAGTCAGTGAGGAGAACCAGCGAAATGCTGACCATGGTCACCATGTTCATCTGGTTCTCCAGCCTCATCTCCTACTTATTCTACTACATTCGACAGAACCAGGCAGTCGCCCGACGACACTTGGAGTACCTCAAGTTCCTGGAGAGCCGGGACCCGTTTAGACCCAAATAAGGGTCTGCTTAAGGACCTCTTGCTGTTCTGTAACTCCATTTTAGAACATCTTTCTAATGGTTTTACCACATATCTCCACAACTTGATTCATATTCCAAGAAGTTTTCCACCCCGGTGTTCTAATATAAGGCTCCGACAACCCTGAAGAGAATCTGAAGATGGGACCTCACCAAGTTCGGTGAAAAAGCTCTGATGTTTCATTTGAGAGTTACGAAGTTCCTCGTTGACACACAGAACTTCAAGATGAGCTCCTCACGGATGCTCTAGGAACATAAAAAGCTGAGAAACCCTCCAAGGGGTTTTTGGATCAGGACAAAGATTTAGAGAACCATATCAGTGACTCATTAATGTCTTCAGGAATTCCAGAAGGAGGAACCATTTATCTCCAGAAATTCACCCAGTAATACTGGAAACTCCTTCAAGACCCAAAGAACTTTTTCAAAACCCAATAAACTGTTTGAATGAAGTGATCCGCTCTCAAACCACCAGAACCCAGTTACAGATGCTTCAAATGATTTATTAGAGTTCCTGAAACTTCTGAAGAAACCACAAACTTTTACTTTGTTGAAGAGTCTAAAACCTTCTTGAGAACCTTAAGATGTTTCTTACAGAACCTTGGACCCTTCTTCAGGACTGTAAGATCCACATCCTGAAGGACTTACTGAGTCTTCCTACAGATCTCTGAGGTCTCTGATTCCTTAAAAACTACATATTTAGTAAGATATTTAAAATTTTGAGAAGGTACGGGCTTTGAAGGCCTTCAGAATTTTACAGGAACTCTTCCAGAACCTAAAGACTTTTCTAAAGGTTCTCTGGACTGAAGTGACCAATTGAGCACCCTGAAAGACCCTTAGTTCTCCAAGTTTCTCTCAAATGCTTCATCATATCAAAACTCTGGCCTGCTGAGTGTAGAGGAGCTGTTGCCGTGGTAACCGCCTCCCAGAGTCACATCAGGGCTTCATTTCTGTTTAAATGTTCATTTTAATCACTTTAAATCTGTGCAAAATAAAAATAAATAAACAGATGTTTCTTTGTATTTAAGGATCTGTGACATAATGACTTGAACTGAAGATAACTCTTATCCTCTCAAATAAAAATTTACATAGAGGGAAAAAAGACAATACTTTTTTTATTACTTATTCAAATATTTTTTTTTATTTGGCACAATGTTTCCCCTGAATGTCCTCAATTCAGATTTCAGCTTCAGCTGCTTCACAGAGGAAATATTAACATGTTAAAACCTGATTCTGACATACTGTTCACGGGAACAGGTCAAACACTATTTCCATCATGGGAGAAGAAGTATGGTATGGTATGGTATGGTATGGTATATAGTTTATTCATTTTAAAAAAGTACAAAACAATTCCATAAGTGGAGGTGGTGGAGAAGTATAAATACCTTGGGCTTCACCTGGACAACAGACTGGACTGGAAATGCGATGAAGTCTACAAGAAGGGACAGAGCAGACTGTACTTCTTGAGGAAGTTGAAGTACTTCAGTGTTTACAGCAAGATGCTGCATATCTTCTATAAGTCTGTTGTAGAGAGCGCCATCTCTTCTGCCATCATCTGCTGGGGTAGCAGCACCAGAGCAACTTCAAAAAGATCAACAAGCTCATAAAGAAGGCTGGCTCAGTTCTGGGGACTCCTCTAGAACCTTTGGAGATAACTGTACAAAGAAGGATTCTTCATAAAATGAAGAAAATTATAGACAACCCTCAGCACCCTCTTCATCAGACTGTCATACAACAAGAGAGTGTCTTCAGTCTGAGGCTTCTTCAGATCCGTTGTAAGACAGACCGCTACAAGAGATCCTTCCTGCCCACGGCCATCAGCATCTATAACAACTCTTTAATGAAACCAGGATGATGAGCTACAACAACATTTAATTTCCCTCTTGGATTAATAAAGTTTTTTTTTTTAAATATGCTTAAGTATATATTGTCACAAAAACACAGGCTAAATAACATATCAATCGATAAATTTACACACAAAAGTAAACTAAAACAAAAAAATGTGTATAAAACAAAGTAATAAAAAAGTATTTTTCATTCAAGCTTTATTTATACAGGTTAGTCCCATTGAGCAACTGGGACTCATTTACAAGAAAGACCTGAATGTTTGATGGGTTCTGAGCCTGACTATGCTCCTGACTGTAGCTCTTCCGGGTTCTGATGGTTCTGTTTTTTTTTTTCCCCTTCTCGTTTTTAGCTTGTTTTGAAATATAAAACTAAAAATATGTGATACAATTAAGAATAGCTAAAATCGATTTATCTCTTATCGACCCAGCGCATGCGCTCTGGTCTTCATCGCTCTGCTATCGACTTTTTGCGCATGCGCATTTTGTCTCCTCCGTCAGTTGCTTCTGCCTGTAGATTTCTGTCCAGTCATTGTGCGGATAAAGTTCAGCGGCTCAGTTCATCAAACCCGTTTAAATTCCACAGTTTGTTCCCCGACAGCATGAAGGAGACAGCGGCCAAGCGGCGGGACAAGGCGGGCGGTCGGGACCGGGACTCCAAGTCCGACAAGTCCAAAGAGCCAAAGGAAGCGAAAGACGCGGCCCCGGAGCAGCAGGACGTGGAGATGCCTGAGGAAGATGCTGCTAACACGGCCAAGCAGCCCAAAGAGCTGGACAGCCTGACACTGGAAGGTAAAGCCGGGTAAAATAGTTTATCAAAACCGGGGAGAGATGTCGCGACAGGTGCCGGGTCATTGCCAGAACTTTTTACCAACAAACCGATCCGGGACCGGCCGTTAGCCTGTTAGCATGAAGCTAACTGCTGACATGCGTCAAAAAAGCGTAAACAGACAGAAAAGATCCAAGTAGAACCAGTTTTATATATGTGTATATATATATTTTAATCTGCTATGGAAATTTTCAGACCAGACCCTTACCCAAAACCTGGTTCAGATCTGGCCAGGACCGAATCCAGACCCAAACCTCTTCAGAATGTAAACAGTGAGTTAGCAAACCTGTAATCTGATCAGATCTGTTGTAAATGTTGACCAAGTTAAGTTTTACAACTCCTTTTGATTTAAATTTAATTAAAATCTCTAAATGTGTCACACCGGTTTATCCTTTTTATGCGGACAGATCAGTCAAACGGGACTAATCAGCAGATTCTGTTTCTGTCCCAGAGGATCAGCGTTGTTACAACAGTTCTGAATAACTCCACATGGAACACCTGGTCCAGCTCCCCTGGTCCAGCTCCTCTGGTCCATCTCCCCTGGTCCAGCTCCCCTGGTCCAGCTCC